CTTCCCAAAATCTTCTATCTCCTACCCTCCCAAGGCAGAACTTAAACAGAGGCCAAAGCACCTGACAAGGTCAAGAATAAAGATAGACCCAACCTAAGGAATTTGACCTAAAGTTCCAAGATGGTGTCACTAAGTTGGTAAGCCTCAAAGTTCAGTGTGCAACTCAAGGGCTGGGGATGTGGGTAGACAGACAAACTACTTCGTCCTAGTTTCTGATTTAATGGAACTATGGTAAGCTGAGACTTGTTTCCAGTAGGTAGAAAAAATATGTTCACAGAGATGGTTCAATGAGAACCATTGCTGGAGTTGAGAACCACTTCGAACAAGGTGATGAGACACCCGGACTGTCTGTTTTAGTCCCACGGTTCTGACACTATGCACCTCTCATGTGCCCCTGAGCCTTCAATGTTACCATGACCGGCCCGGGATAAACTGCTGTACTGGTCTGATTGCTGATGCTGCAGGGATACTGGCATCAATCTCTATGCTCAGGACTGCAATGAGGCAGAGGAGGTCAGAAAAATCTAAGCTTCTCATCTTTCCTTGGTGTCTCAGAGACCAAGGCCCCCTCGCCAAACCCCGGGCAAGTATATCTGCCAGTTCTCTGTAAGTGACTGAAGCTAGTGTGCAGTGTGTGATTATTCTCTACAGAGGGTAAAGAATGTCATGGAAATGTAAGTGGATTAATTATAGGTATTAATATTTCACTGTTAGGGTTGAATGAGAAAATGAAAGTCACAAGCATCCAGAGTTCCACAAGTGTCTTCTCTCCCAGACAGGCAGGGAGGCTCTTGAGTGTATATGGCATCTTGAAGCTCTCATGGAAAATGCCTGATGAGAGGCTGTGAGCACAGCTGGCTGAAAATGGCTCCCTGGTGGCGGGCTCTCCGAGCAGCTATCGGTGCCCAGACCGGAGCCTGGCCAAATGCTGTGATGCAAGATTCAAAGCATCTTTGGACTTCAGCAAAGCTCAAAGGGAGATATGAAAGCTTAATCACAGCTGATTGGGGGGAGTGACTCATGCACTGGGGCTTTCCAGCTGAAGCCTTGGGGACCAACCAGGCTTGGGTTCTCCCCAAATTAACACAAAGAATCCAGGCTGCAACAGTTGGGAAATGGAGGTTTATCCATAAACAGAAGCTTGGAGTGTCTATAGGTGAGGAGCCGGAGAGAATGCATCCCATAGGACCTGTCCACAGCTGTATAAGTCAGGTGCTCATGAATTAATGAATAAATGGTCATTGAAAAAGAAAGGGAGGGGCAGAGGAAAGGAGAGATGGAGGGAGAGATGGAGGAAGGAGGAAGGAGGAAGTTAGTTTACTCTTTGTACCCACTTCTACAACTGGGCAGTCTTTCTCAAAGTTACTCCCTATACTGACCCAAGATGCTGACCCAATCACCTGAATGCAGGAGGACCCTGCAGATCCCTAAGCACAGCAGGGCAATGCAGGGGACATGGCCCAAATGAACTTCCTCTTGAAATGCCCACAGGTTAACCTTTCCCACATCATCTTTCAGGCTGGAGAACCGAAGCCATTCCTCCCAGTGAGGTGCTGGGGTCACTGTCAAAATACCACTTGCTTCTGCTCACCAGGATCAAGGTTTACCAGAGTTCAACCACCAAAAGACACTGAGAGGACAGACTTCCTCCATGTCTCCAAGGTGTCTCTGCTGCCCCCTGCTTTCTGAACCTGGTGCTTGGGTATATTCAGTTTTAGTGAGATGCCTGTTGTCACCTGGAATGCCCTGGGCCTTTTCACACTCCCCTCACCCCGGGCCCCACTGAGAATGACTACTCAGATCACTGGAAGATCAATCAGAGGTGGTTATTTCTATAGCCCCCTTCCCCACAAGGCACTCCTCGTTCTGGGCAACACTCTGTCCCTCAGCAGGATTACTTTAAACACTACTCACTGCTCAGCATCCCTCCTTCCTCTGAAGAGTCTCTTCAATGCATGAGTCAAAGTGGATGGAGAGGCTAGCCTGGAAACCTGGTTCTGAGACTCCTTAGCCCTTAGGACCGTTCAGGGCAGGACAGAGCAGAGGGATCTAAACAGAGCTAAGAAAGGCAAGCCTAGAACACTCACAGGGGCTTGGGCAGAAATCATTATGCATGCTAGGTACTGCACAGCCAGAGGCCCCCAAGCCCGGAGCTACACATAAATGTGTGATGCCACTTGAAAGCCCCACATGAAACAAAGAAAAGCTGGAGCTGGGGAAAAAGACTAAGGATGAATTCACATTATTTGATAGTTATGCTTCATAAAGCTACTGTGGATAGTAGGTGAATAAACACTGTACCATTGCTCCTAATGGAAGTTCAGGGTTAGGTTCCTGCAAGCCCCAATTCATGTTTTTATCAAGCAGTCAGTACAGAGCCTGGTTTTATGAGTAGGTCTATTTAAAAAACACATTGACATTCAGCATATACAGCCAGCTGGTGAGGCCATCAACACTGTAACTGGTGCCTGGATACAGGTTATTGGACACACCCCCTACTTCCTCCACAAGGCCACTGCTACCTTCTGGAACGGTAGTAACAGCACTTCAGCACGGCACTGGCCTGCCTTGTCACTCCTCCAGCCTTTACCACCCCTCCTCCTACAATTTTCTAACCTATTTTCTAACCAAATAGGATTCGATCCTATTTGGAAGCTTTAGAACAAAGAATAAAATCAGAGATGAAAGGAGCCTTAGGAATCTTCTGTGCTGGGATAAGGGGAACAAAGATCAAAGAAGAAAGGAACTTCCCAAGATCACTAAGAAAAGACCAGAGTGAAAATGAGTCTCCCAGCTCCCTCTCAGTGACTGTGTCTGTGTTCAACATTGCTGTTGCTAGCTGAGGGTGCCACTGTTGTCTGTCAATAGCATTAGAGTCCAGTGCTCATTTACAGAAAAACAAACCACTGCAGTGGTCCACACCACTGGGACATGCTCTTTCCAGGAAGAGAGGATCAGGGGAGGAAGACTCCCTTAGTGGAGGAGTTTGCCTATTCTAGGTAAGTCACCTCTATCCCAGCAGACTTTGCCTATCTCCCTGACCCTGCACCCATCACCTTAATTCCCCCAAGTGGCCACGTTTACTTATTTCTGACTTCAAACTACAGAGGTCCAGGAACAGAAGGATTTGAGACCCTTGTCCCAAAGGCATCAAGTCACCCTTAAGAGTTTCTAATGAAAAACTTACATTAAGTGTACACTTTGGATGTTCAGTAATCAACCTCTAGCCTGTCCTGGGCATAGTGGACCCATGCCCATCAGCATGCAGCCCTGCTGCAAGGAACTCTATCAAGCTACAACCCCAGATCAACAGTCTTGTATGTATCCTGGAAGAGCCCATTTCAGTATGTGGCTCCAAGAAAAAAATCCTGGGCCCACATCTCCAACCCCGTGTTCTTTTCAAGAGGACCCTGGCCAGAAAGAGAGCTCAGAGCTCTGTCTGAAGCTCCCTGGGAGTCCTCTGGCATCTTGGAGGACTACCTACACTGTACCAGTTCTGCCTACTGTGACAATTGCTCACAGACCCCCAAGGCCATTTCTACTCTGCCAGATGCATGATGATTTCACACAGAAATATCCACGAGCCTCTGATGAGCCAATTAGCAACACTTTTGACCTGAACCTGCCCTGCCCTTGGCCACCACTTCCTCTGTTATCTTCCTCAGCTGGGTCTCCTGAAGGATTTGAAGAAGCCACATCCTGTGGCCAAACAGAAAATCTGGGGAAAAGAAAAAAAAACCATATCTTTCCAGAGAAGGTGACTTCAGCTTTAAAACTAATACTTCCTGGCTGACGTCTTTTCTCTCTCGAAGTTCCCAAGGGTTGAACTTTACATTCTGCATTGTAAGACTTCAGCTCAGCAAAGGAGCAAGGTGTCTTTCTGAGTCTGAGCTGGCATTGTTCTTTTACAGGCATGCAAAGACGGCCAAGACACAAACACTGTCCCCAAGCTAGATCACTATCCGACAATCACCAGCTCCAAGAAAACACTACCGTCCCTCAGAAACGGTACAACTTCCACCAGACTGGATTTGATTCTAAGTATTCTGGGTAGAATTGAGACCCTCCCTCAAAAATTCATAGGTTGAAGACTTAACTCCCAGAACCTTAGGAGCAGGGCCTTTAAAGAGGTAATTAAGGTAAAGACAGCCTACATGAGTGGTGTCCTTCAAGAGTAGGGGAAGTATCAGGAATGCACACACACACACACACACACACACACACACGATCATGGAAGATCCAGAGGGAAGCACCTGGAAACTAAGGAGAGGTCTCAAGGGACACAAACTTGCTGACACCATGACCTGGATGAAATGACCTGAGAGCTTGACTGTAACTTCACAGGTTGATATCCTAATCCCCAAGGTGATTGGAGTATGATGTCAGGAGGGCGGAACCCTTGTGGCTGTGCCAGTCCTTTCTACTCTGTGAGGACACACAGGTGACAACATCTCCTAAGACCTGTTTCCCCAACCAAAAGCCATTTTCCCAGCCAAGCACTGTGCTTGTTAATATTTATGAATTCCCATTTCTCACCTGAAGCCATGTTGGCATTTTCAGTAGGTTCTTACTTTTACTTTTATCTTCCATGGAGTGTTTTCCTTCCAACCCACTTCCCCCAGTGAAGTCTACAGATCTCATTGCATGTGTTTGTATAAAGAGGTGATTTTGAAATAGTGTCTGTTATGTTGTGGCAGAACTGACTTACTTAACCATCTCAATAAGGAACTGTCTTTCAAGTGGCTCAGGCCTGGGGTGTAAGGGATGGGCATCATATTGATATAGAGAACATATGGGTCTCACTAATGCAGCAAGAACACCTCCTACTGGCCACGTGCACAAGTTACAATAAAAATTCCAGGGGGAGGGGAATTAAGCCCTTACACAAACTAAATAAAATGTATCACCTCACCTTTAGGATATTGAATGTAATGTGTTTGCAGGATGAACAAGGGTTAAGGTCAAATGGCCACACATACACTACAGCTACACTTGCTCACCTGTCATGGAGTTTTCTGAAGTGCACAGCTGCTCTCTCAGCTTCTCCACGTCGTCTGGGTGTACCTGTTCGTAGAGAGTGCTCCCAAACCACTCTGACTGTGGCTGGTTCAGAACAGGAGTGACTGAATCAGACACATAGATTACTCTTCCTGTCTCCGCTGCCACCACAAACAGAAATCCATCAGCGGCTTCAAGGATGAGATGTTTCAGCTCCTGGGGAGAAAAGGCCATGGTCAGCAAGTGTACTAACGGATCCGGATCCATTATCTTCTCTCAATTAGCAACCTCAACTTCCTTTAGGTAGCTGTTCATTGTGGTGTACAAATGATTGTGTTGATGAATGTCGTTTCACCTGGTTAGCTTATTTTCTGGAGAAATACACAAAGCTTGCACCATCCCTAAAATGCACTGTCTTTTCTTGGAGAGCATGAATGGGGTTGGGGGGATTACCAGTGTGGAGAAATGAGGGAACAGGTGCCCATGATGAGGGGGTTCTGAGTTGCCAGTTTCATGAGGTACTTTCCTCATGTACTAAAACTGCAGTCATAACACCACAGAAGGGCCCAGCACCCAATTCGTGGCACAAAGGGTCCTGAATGCAGGAAGAAAGGAGAATGAAAAGGAGAGAAGAGAAAAAAGAAACAGACTGTAAGTCATGTACTAAAACTGCAGTCATAACACCACAGAAGGGCCCAGCACCCAATGCGTGGCACAAAGGGTCCTGAATGCAGGAAGAAAGGAGAATGAGAAGGAGAGAAGAGAAAAAAGAAACAGACTGTAAGCCTTCCCATTGTGTGGGGACATTGCACTCTTGTTCCTCTTATTCCTGAAGCCCTGTCATCACCTCCGGGGGTCATAATCAATTCTGTTAAACTGAGATAACCACACCTAAAGGCAGATCAATGGTAACTATGTATATCCTGTCACATCGAGCTAAATAAAATGCCTGGGCTCTCAGCTTGCAGGAGGTGTGAGCTTATATGTCCACAAACACTAGAGTCTGCAGTCACCAGTCTGGCACACTGTCCAAGCCCCAAAGAACAAAATCATTCTTTGGGGTCAGCAGTAAGCAAGCAATTTCCCCATCCCAGACTCAAAAGTTCAAATACAATCCCACAAGGAATGGTTACCACCCAATAGTCAGGGGCAGCTGAGAAGAATCGAAGGATAGAGTATGGAACATTTGGTCAGAGTAACCTCCTAGTGACCCAAGTCCCTAGAAGACCTTAACTTCTGGGGGCATGGCCTAGGAACTTTGTGGCTTGTATGCAGGCACTGGCTGGGGAACAATTCAAACACACTCAGCCTGGGAAACCAAGGTGGATGCTGACCATGCAACCATGTTTCAACCAAAAGTTTACTCTATCAATTTCCCATATACACTCTGCTTCCTGTGTCTCTTTGATGCTTCTGCAGTTCTAAGAGCATCAGCATTTTCATTCTCAGCGTCAGGAAAATCTTCCTAACAGGAAGGTCCTCTTTAAAAAAAAAATGGGATAAGATGTCTGGGGAGGGAGAGACATCTTCTCATGTTGATGGAGGAGGTTGTGTGGCTTTGTTTATGCATGCATGTTCTAACCCAGTTTGCAAGGACTGCAAAGGTCTGGTAGGACAGAGCCACCCCCACCCATCTCTCCCCATCCTCTCTCTTGAGTTTCATCATCTGAGAACTCGTTACTCATAACTGGCCTCTCCTCTTTTCTCCAGTCAGACAGTATGGGTTTGGAAGTTAAGAAAGCTTCCATCCATGCCCTTCTACTTAGCTTTACAGCTCTGGCACGATATTTAATGGCTTTGGCTTCTGATATTTGAAAAAGTTTACTTGCAGTGAAACTTTTGAAGGTTACATGAGCTTCTGGTGTACAAAGCTTAGGAGGTGTTTGCCACACAGTAAGTGTTTACAAGTTTACTTGCAGTGAAACTTTTGAAGGTTACATGAGCTTCTGGTGTACAGGGCTTAGGAGGTGTTTGCCACACAGTAATTGTTTACGGGGTTCTGTAAATGTGATGGAGAGAGTGGCATTATAGGGCATGTGAATGTGTGCTTGCCTTCTCTCTGCCACCTCCTGTAGTTGCTTAGAGTCCTTTTTTGTAAGGGTTAAATAGGTTCAGAGAAAAGATGCCATGTTGACTCCAGTGAGTCCTTTTTTGTAAGGGTTAAATAGGTTCAGAGAAAAGATGCCATGTTACTTAATGTTACTTAAGTTAGCGTTACTTAAATGTTTCCAGCAAGTCATGTCTCACCATTCATCTTTCATTATAGTAACATCCCCATGCTAACCAGTCGAACAGGGAGGCCTTCCTCACGACATCCACAGAGCTGGGGGCTAGCATGGTTTTCATTTTTACAGAGATGGGAATGAGGGTGGAAGCCTGTACTTGGGCCACCAGGCTCTACATCGATAAGACCAAATATGGCCACTCCCCTTTTCAGGAAATCCTCAACATGAGAGGTCAAGTGACCCTGGGAACATTTAAAAGGCATCAGTGTAGGTAAAGTGCCTGCACCAAACAGAGGGAAATGGCATTGATTTATCTTCCTCATTCTTCTAAACCTTTGGTCACAACACGGACAGATGTTCTAATGACCTAACGATCACAGCGTGACTAACGATCCCTCAGATCAGCATGACTAGCGACCCCTCATGCCTTCTCCACCCCTCCCTCTGTGTACTGACTTCCTTTGTGCTCATTCTGTGCCTCCTTCACAGCCTTTGCCTGAGCACTGCCCCTGGTGCAACCCAGTCACTTCTGCTCAATTTCATTTGAGCAACTTTCTGTCTTGTTAAACATTGCATTACTCAAGATTCCATACATGGAACACTTGGCACTTCCGAATTAACACTCCTGACAACTATGTAATGTCACCTCTTTCTACCAAATTCATCGGCTCATTTCTCTTAGGAAAGCTATGGAACTCAGAAAGGCATAACTTCATGTTTAGTTAGACAAGCTAACGAAAGCTTTAAGCATCAGCTGATGTTCACTGTGACCACAACATGAAGGACAAGGACTTGCAACACAAGCCACCTGGCTCAGGTAAATCCACTTACTAATGCTGCCTTGTTATTTCTTGTATTTCTTCTCCCCAGTTAGCACTGGTATAAAAGCATGGCTTTAGGGAACCCCAGTAGACCAGTCTCCGGTTCCCTTCTCTAAGTAACTGACCATGCAAAATTCAAGCTTCGACTTTTTCACCGCTCAAACAGTGACGGAGAGCAGTGTCTTGCTAGCTAAACTAAATGAACAGCACAGAAGGATGTGCCTTGCACCAGGACCATGAACACCTGCCAGTGCTGTCTGTATGGCTCTGTAGCCATCACCATGACTGCTTTGCTGACTCTCATGGCATGACTACCTTCTCACTACCCTTACAAACAGGAATTATGGTATCAATGCCATCTTCCTGTGTCAGCATGCTCACCACACTGTTTTTTTAACCACTCCTCACTGAGGTGTGTGGGAGATAAAAGAGCAGAAAATAGAGAGATCTGGCACTCTTGAAGAGTCCTTCTTGCTGAAGAATAGAAGCAAAATTTCTTGCCTTCACCCCTTCCCCAATACTGACCTCCATGTTCCCACATAATTTGTCTCAGGCTTGTGACCCTAAGACTCACCCCCCCACACACACACACTTCCACTGGCCACAACACCAGAAGAGTAACACTGGGGCACCTGCTCAGTGAGGAAGGAAGGCTTGTATGCACCATCAGTAGATTTGTTTCCGGTGCCCCTCATGGACTTCATGTGTGAAACCGCCATGCGCAGTATGGTGAGCTTGTCTGGCTTCCGGGCCAGTGCACTGCAGGTGGGAACCATGTCGGAGAGCTCCGTAATATATTGAGTCATCTTGTTTCGCCTGCGCCGCTCAATCTCACTGTGGTTCTCTCTTCCCAGAAAGCAAGAGGTCAGGGGGAGGGAAAAAGAGAAGGATCAGACCAGGGGTCAGCAGACATTGGGATAAAATAACTCACTGTTAACAACAGATGGCCAAACTCCTAAGCCTGCTTCATAATGGCTGAGTGCTTTGGTACTTGTGTGTTGAAGCCGAGCCCTGACACATCTGTAAGCTCTTGTCTATGTGCGGGGAGCATGGACCTCCGTCACCTCCTTCTTTAAATATGTATTGCACTTCCTTAATTACCCACATACCTATGGATTTTTCCTAGACAAGCAAAATTAAGACCAGAGACTATGGAACGCCAATGTATCCTAGCAGGCTTTCTGTGTACAAGCGTGATCTTAAAAATCAATGTGTGGGCTCACACCTACAAACATAGCTCCTGACGGCTTGCATATGTGATTTATGTACTTCGTGGCACGAAGCACTCACTATAAGATAGCCTCCAACTCATGCTCCTTTAATTTTTCGGTGGTGATAACCCATTCAGTAAGCACCGTACCTCAAAATATGTAAAACACCCAATAATGACAAATACCCACACAGCCATGCTACTTTCACTCTCAATCCAGCATTCAATATATCACATGAGACCTCAACATCCCACTATAAGGCAGGGATGTGTTGAATGCTTAGCTAGCCACAGGCTGATGTAAGTGTTTTAATCTGGCTGAAGGCAGCCCAGGCCAGGCTGGGATGTTTGGCAGGGGTTGTATCAAATTCCTTTCTCCTTAACAATACCCTCTTCTGACAATGGGCTTGCAGTATCCAACACTGTCACAAGCCTTACTACACTTTGTGTCACTAAGGAGGCCACTGATGATGCAGACTCACTTTATATAAGGCTGTGAACGTGCCTTTGTTCTATATCCAGTGTATTTCCCGCAGCATAGTAACAGAACAGGTGTGACCCTTTATTAACCAATAACCAATTTAAAAAAAACACTGCAAGGAGTTACCTAACTCCATCCCTGGCAGGCTGAAAATGAAAATCTAACAGAAGGGCTGGGAGAATATTTCTGTCTCGAATTATTTATTACCTTTAGGCTCAAAAGAGAGTAACAGCCAGCCCCATTCAACACACTTAAGAAAAAGCTGTTCCCTGGGATGGAGCAGTGTCTAAAAATACACCCATGTCTGCTGCTACAGGATGGAGGACTTTGTGGTTTCTCTGGGAAGGAAAGTGACACTAACAGTAAGAAAAGAAGATCCCCAGGCAAGGCTGCTCCACACACTGCATGTATTCATCAGCTTCGCACCCCATCCTTCCAGCAAGTGGGACAGCATGACAAGCAGGCCTGATGGTAAAATGGTGTTCGTGCTGTGTGTGCTGAGATGTGCACGGCGTGTGCACACAGCAGTGGTCCCTGTGGTGGCCTGCTGGGAGCCTTCTGGAGCAGAACTTCCATTCAAGGAGTCCTGAGCAAGTTCCCAGTGGGGAGAGGATGGCAGAGAAAAAAGAGAGCCCAACATGATCTTCAAGGAGCAAGGGCATTAAGTGGGAAGGTGCACTGTGCACAGCGGAACCCAGAGGTGGAATCTGATCACATGCTCTGAAAGGCCTTGGAAGGTAGAAGGCAGGAGAGAGAAAGACACAGAAGGGGAGGGACTAGAAGAGGTCGGGGATGGCAGACAGAGTTAGACATACGTGGCAACAGGAGGAGGACCAGCGCTTTGGAAAGAGGGTCCATGTGGAGGGTCAAAGGAAGGCTTAGGATCAGGAGAACACATTGAGAGAGGAAGAGACATCCCTGTAGGAAGGGCAGGCCTGCTGCAAGAGGAAGCTGAGGAACTTGGAGGCTGGGGAGCAGGCCAGACCACAGTAAGAAATCTAATGGAAACTGAGGCACAGTATCAGTTGTAGCAGACGTTTTAGAGAAGTTCACAGGTGGATGAGCCTTGTAGGAGAGGGGAGAAAGACAGGTGAAGACCAGCCAGCAAATTTTTGAGGCCAACCCCACCCCACAGGTGTTAACTGTAAAGATCTAAACTGGCCAGTGAAGCACCAATGTTCAAGTACAAGGCAAAGACCCTCCAGTGTTCAGGGAAGTCTACATCTCTAGGCAGAAATGGGCAGAGTTGGCTGTGTAGGGAAATAAAGGGCCAATTAGATAAGAAGAGGTTGAGGTGGGACACCTACAAGCCAGAGAAAGTGATACAGGCAGGAATTGGGTCAGAGGACTTCTAGCTCTTGAGCACAGGCTGGAATCTCACCACGGAGAGACCAGAGTCCCTTTCCTCCCCTTCCACAAGCACAGAGCAGGTCATGTGGTGCAGACCACATGCTTCAGCTGGACACTTATCCACGAGACCCAAGGCAGGGCGAGCTCCCGGAGGTACATACTCCTCCCGCAGGCTCACACTTCCTAGGGCCTCCCTGAGTAGATGGTGCTCTGAGAGTGCAAGGGGAGGTCAGACAGGAAGTTCAGGCACTTCCGGGGGAAGATGATTTAGGTGGGACCCAGAGCTCCTGTCACAGCACCTGCCTGCATGTTCCCGTGGGGAATCATGTGAGACAGGCTTTCCTCTCTGTATAGAGCAACCCCCCAAGGAGAATCCGCCTGCCCTACCTGGAGTCGAATCAACCTGAACCTCTCTGAATCATCAGAACACAGTGTCTACTTTGACTTATCTCTGGGCCATGCTGAACCGTGGCTCCTTCACCACAAACTGCTGCCTGTGCCAAAACTCTTGCAAAAACCTCTCGACTCTCCCTCCTCCCTTCCCCATGCTCATGCTCACTGCCCACCGTGGCTGACACCACCTGCCCCATGTGGCTAAACCTCCTCCCATCTTTCCTCCCCCTCCATCTCAGACCTTATACTGTAGCCAGACTGACAATTCTCTAAATGTAAGTCTGTCACTTAAAGTCCTTCAGTGGTCACCCCCAAACCTAGAGTTAAGCCCAAAGCTTTTGGGTAGTGTCTGTGGCAACCAATGGTAGCTTATTACCCTGGACTAATTTTCTCTATAAACACTGGGAATGGTCTTTGTGAGATTCCTTGATGGATCCATAGATAAATTCAATTCGTGGGCTGAGGTGAAGGAAGAGAACAATTAAAGGAAGCTGAGAATCGCATTCACTGACCAGTGCAGGAAATGATACAATGATTTTAGATTTTATGAGATAAGCCTGAGCTACTAGCAGTATGTTAAAAAGAACTGTGAACTGTCAGTTGCCTAGCAACAAGATCTGAAGAACAAGTTGGTATGCATTGATGTGTAGGATTTCATTTTGAAGCCCTCAAGGATACAGAGGTGAAGGAGTGCCATCCTGTGAAAAGAGAAGGACACATCCCAAGACCCTATCTACTGCCCCAAGTTTATCTTATCCCCAAGGGAAAGGAAAGAGAGAGAGAGAGAGAGAGAGAGAGAGAGAGAGAGAGGAAAAGTCATGACAACACTGACCTACACACAAAAGATGGCCATGGGAAGACAGAGACAGAGGGAGGCAGCGTCTAGAACTATGCTGCCCCAGGCCAGGAAAACATGGGACCATTTGCAGCTGGAGGAGGAGAAGGGCCTACTCCAGGAGGTCCTGGGGGCAGCCTGGTCCTGTCAGCACCCTGACTTCATCCTAGCCTCCAGAGCAGAAAATAAGCCTGAGTTCTTTTCAGTGTCAGCTGAAAGTTGCAGGACCCGCCAGAGCCACCCCCCCCAGCCAGCCCAAGCCTCAAGCTGAGTCCTGGCTCAGGGAAGCTGATAAGCCGAGGGATACAGTGCTGGCAGCCATCTTCTCATTATTTGGCAAGGGCCTACAAGAAGTAACTTTCTCAGAGAGCCTGAGGAAATATTTCCAATGAGACAATGTGAGTCTTTAATAACCTGAAACATCTTTGCACTATCTCTGGACCCTTGGGGACTATGTGCAACACTCTGCTACCCCCCAAAAAACTATTTGCTGATGTTCCCTTCACTGTTCCATCTATGCTCAAGATATATGTGCCTGCTACCCTCCAGGGCCTTTACCTTTTCTCATATACGAACATAATTTGCCTCTAGCAGTGGTTCTCAACCTGTAGGTCACAACCCCAAAGAAACCAAAGGAAAACAGATAGTTAGATTATGATTCATAACAGGTATAAAGTAGTGATGAAAACAATGTTTTGGTTGGGGGTCATCACAACACAAGGAACTGTATTACAAGGTCACAATATTAGGAAGGTTGAGAACCATGGCTCTAGAGTGTGTCTAAAGGAGTGTGACACCCAGTGGTTGTCCCCTGGGTGACCTCAGCTTTCCACACTAGTACTGAGATTCTGAAGCTCCAGACTCTCCGTGGCCAGAACCTTCACCCTTCAAAGTTCTGCTTCCATGATGGCTAGCCCTTATCCTAAGGATGCACTGGAATTTTCTTTTCTTTTATTGGTTTTTCAAGACACGGTTTCTCTTGTGTATTAGAGCCTGGCATGGAACTTGCTCTGTAGACCAGGCTGGCCTCAAACTCACAGGGATCTC